TTCTCGTCTTATTGGCACTTGTGGCACTTGTCGCAAGTAAAGAAGCCGGTTTGATCCGCAGTGAGTATTTTCCATAATCCTACGATTTAATAATCGTCGAACGAACCGTACGTTAACGTCCATCCGTAATAACGAGGCGCGCCGCGCCATAATTTCGAGCAACTTATCGGGGGTGCCACGTCGAGTGTCTTTCTCTTCCTCCCCCTCTCCCTCCCGTCAAGGTAGATCTTAAAGGTGAGCATTGCTCAGCCGTAGCACGGTGAGCAACAGTGTAATGCCGGGGATCTTTTATCTCGCCATTCCGTCGCGGAGTGAAAGCCAACAACCTTGATTTAATAATAAAGGTTGCGGAATCGTCCCCTCCACCCTTTCCACCCCCTCTGTCGTTGCTTGCATCGCAGTGTTGGGCGCTCCAATAAAAATAACCGATAGACATTTCCCGCTCTCACGAGGACTCGCTACGAAGACGGGGAGATGCTTGACAATTTCTCTTTCACTTTTTTCACATATATATTTTTTTTTACGGATCCACACCAGCTTGGAGATCCTCCAATAATAGTCTGGACGCGAGTCACGGTTTTGTAACGCAGGGTGATAGCTCGAAGAAAAATCTACGAGAGAGAAGGACGTATGTTTACTAATTATTTCTTTTTCTCATTCTGTTCTGCCTCTTTCTCATCTATTTCTCTCTCTCTCTCTCTTTTTCTTTCAGAAACATGGTATACCAATCAAAAGTGGCCTTCTCATGTTCAGACTTAATAGAAGATCTTTATGTTTTAACAATTCTAGAGAGAGAGAGAGAGAGAGAGAGAGAGAGAGAGAGAGAGAGAGAAGTAGATAAGGAGAAGATAAAAACAGATGAGAAAGGAAAATAAATACCAAGTAAATATATATGTTCTTCTCTCTCGCTTTTGTTAAAACTACTAGGGACAAAATTGCCACGTACAAAATTGTATCTCGTGTCCCAGACATTTATCGGAGGTCTCTATCTCAATAGGACCTCCAGCAGTCATTGATCGGAGCGAAGAGCCGAAGTGACTCCGCAGACAACGATTGTGAACACTATTGTGAGATGTTTTGAAGCGCAATCCCTCCCGTCAATGCTAATTCATTTACTGCAACTGGGTCAGTGCGCGCGTGTGCATCGATAGTCCGAGGAGTGTGCGTTTGCATTTAAATAACAAACCCATCGCTGTTCAGGCACAGGTCTTCAGCTTTAGGTCTTCAGGTTCTCGTCTACAAATCTCCCCGATATATAGATAAACGTAGGTCAATATTTATCGACCGTTCCATCATACCCCGCGTGGCCTCCTATTGTTTCGTAAACGAATTTCAATAATTAAAGATATCTTCCTACGCGCATGACGGTGTCTTCTTTATGTGTGTACAAGGAGATTTCGGTATTGTAAATTCTTCGACGAACGTTTCGTTTCAGGTTCCGATAATTATATTTACGCAGGTGGGGCTTCATGAATTTGTCTCGTCTTCAACGATTTTACTAGTAAAATCCGAAAGTTTCCCAGTTCAAGTAGTGTAAAAGGGATGACGGAGATCAAGCAACTGTTTTTCTTTCTTGATATAATTATTCTTGATTTCGATACGTATACAAAAAAAAATGATGGATTAATTTTTCTACGACACTGTAATTTCTTATCACGGAAGTCTCTTCATTCGTTCCACCTGATCATTCTTATTCTCAAAGTTAAAGTTCAATCTATCAGATGAAGTATAAGATTAAATAGATTGATTTTAGGGAAAAATGACAAATATTAAATTTTGTTTCTTTCAATTATTCAATGTAATTACTTCGGTTTAGCTTACGTTACACAACGAAGAACGTGAGATTCCTCCATTTAATTTAATTATTATTTCGCTTTATCAGATCTTTTCGCGATCCTCACAAGAGAAGATCCTTAGAAACTTCAATACGTACATCTTAATCGCCAATGCCTTCGAGGCGCAAGAATCCCCAGGAGAGAATCTCCAGGATTCTTTTTCTTACGTTTCTAAATTCGAAATTAGACTAATTAGCGCCTTGAACGCGACTTGCAAGATTCTCGACGGCAGAGCCTCCGCCATTCGTAATATATCTGGCGATCCAGTCCCTCAAATCGCAAGTAATTGTTATTCGACGATTATTATTCAACGAGATTGCAGACACGCATATCCATATCAATGCGCGCTGACTCATTTGCATTCTCATTGTCGTTCGGCGCGATTGTAATGGTCCCACGTAACGCTTGTAACGCGTGTAAGTAGCACGTAGTAGATAAGCTCCCCTCGTCCCCGCCCACCCCCCTCCTTCGCCCCTCTGCGGTGGCTTTCCACGCCAATGAAACGTGCTCACGTGTATTACGACGCACGATCTTCCTCTGTGCGTACACAGAAAAGTACTACATATATGTACAAATATTACTTACTCGTTTTAATTATTTTAAAAGTTTAATCGTTTCCTCCACTTGAAAAGTGACACAAAATTACAAAAAAATGTAATTTTTTTTTCAGTTATTACCACGAATGAGTTAATTATACAGATTACTCAATCATCAAAAGTAAATTAACTTAATTTCTCAGTCCATTTATCAAGTAGCACTTTTCTGCCGTTCTTAGGGTTTTTAAACAAATCATCGTATCTTGTTCTACGAGACATATCTTTTTAAGTTGCGGCGTTTTTGTAAATAAAAGGAAGAACCTTCTGCAGAGAATATTTAGAGTTTAGATGATCAAAGTTGTTTCAGTCGTTTTAGTTTCATCAAAATAAATGTAAGCTATCGATATTTTGAGTGATATTTTGAGCGACTTTTGATGAATATCAAAATCATCACAACACAAAAGGGGTGATTTTTGACGGTTGTAAAATAAAAATGACATTCGAACATGTTTCTAAAAGTATATCCTCTTTGTTTAATTAGTCATTAATTTGAAGTTGAAAAATAATTTTCCTTTTTTCCTGAGAAACCTAATTTTCTGAGTTACGTCATTTTGGAGTAAAGGAACGATATCTATTATAATATATTTCCACAAATATATTAGAAATTTATCACGAGCATTAACTTTATTCGAAATATATATTCTGAATTATTAATTTAATATTTCAATGAAGATTATTAAATTGTAACAGATTCCATTTGTCGGTTATACAAAGTCGCTTCTACGATAAAATTTTGTAACATTCCTAAAGAGATATTTGTTCTTTTTTTGAGTACACGATAATGAGTTTTTCTAATATTTAACAAGTAACAAGTATATTTTAAGACTATCGTCAAACAAATCTTCTTTGTTAATGATAACCGTTACTTAAAAGAAAAGACAGAAAGTAAACTGAGTAATCGATCATGTTTCTCGACAGAATAAATATCTTTCTATGTGTTTTCACTCGCTTACGAAAATCGTTTGTTTTTGAGGTGACTGCATTTATTTACATTACTGGCGTGTGATAAATGGAAGCAATGTAATCTGTTAACGTAATCCAGAGAATACGACGGAAAATCCCTTCATCGAACGGACTGTGACTTTCCTTTTCGATTTTCATTGGGACTGAATATGTCGTAATTATTTTTTTACTACGACACAATATATGCGTATCGGGATTTTATTTTCCATGCAACGAGCTAACTTTGCTTTTGCGTTATCTCGGCCGAGAATACGGCGATTAAATTAGAACGAACGGCCTGCAGGTAGCGATAAGAAATAAAAGGTTAGGATTATTTTTGTAGCCGTTTTTTTACGTAACGTAATTTTAATTCTCCGTAAATAGAATGATGCGCATACATAATAAACGTGGTTTACGTCACGCCGCGGCTTGGCTAAGGTCAATCAAAATCAAGCAATTAAGTATCGCCGGTGTGCGTTCGACGCGTTATCTCGCGGGGAAACGTCACGTTAATAAATCGCGTACTATCGCGTCGCGATCGTTGTTTCGCTGTTTCGAATCGATCGGGTAGGCTTTTCAATCGATCGAAAGGCGGATCTGCGCGAGGGCGCGCAGTTATCTTGCCGGCGTGCAAATCGCCTTCGAGAGCGACGACATTCCGTTTTCCATCGCGGCGCATGGTCGACGACATCCACGGTCGATTTGTCCGCGAGCGCGATTTATGCGAAAGTGAAATAAAATTCGACAAAAGGAACGCGGCGAAGCCAAGGTTCGCGCGCGCCTTTTGCCCCGTCTTGTCCTTCGTTGCAATCCAATTCACGGACGACGTCGCGCGCGCCATTTTTTTCGTCTGGATTCAAGTCGGCTGTAATTTACAGTCGGGGTCCGCACGATAATTTCCGTGCGAGCACGGCTTTCCGCATTTTTTCACGGCTTCCGACGCCGCCGCGATGACGTCGTTGTATACAATAAGATGCGCGCGCGAAGATCGTTGCGATTCTCGATACGAACACGGAGAAACACACGCGTACTGTCGTGTTCAATAATTATTTGTTTCAAGTATCTCGAAAGTTTAAAATATATCCGCAAAGTCTAGCTAGTAAGTTTATTACAAA